CCGGGCGTGGTGGCACACACCTTTAATCCCAGCACTTGGGAGGCAGAGGCAGGCAGATCTTGTGAGTTCAAGGCCAGCCTGGTGTACATAGTGAGTTTCAGGACAGCTGGGGTTACAAGGAGACCCTGTCTCAAAAAGGCAAAAAAAAAACCCAAAAAACTGATATCAAGATTTCCTCCTATGATGTGGTACTATTCTTAAGAGCTAAGATATAGAAATAGCCTGGCTGCCCATCAACAGAGGAATGGATAAAGAAAATGTGAAATTATATATGGTGGAGTATTATTCATTCATAGAACAAAATGAACAGAACTGGAGGGCATCTTGTTGAGCATGTCAGTCCTATAAAGTGATCCAATTTTCAAAGTTGCCCATCAGTAAATATTTAAAAATTCTCCAAGCCATGTGTTTAGGATAGTACATGCATACCATCCCAGGAATTCACTTTTCCAAGGATCTAGATTGAGCAGGATCAAGATATTGAGACTTATACTTTCTAATGCCAGGGCTGGAGAGATGGCTCAGCAGTTAAGAACACCGGTTGTTCTTGCAGAAGACCCGGGTTCGAATCCCAGTACCCACATGGCAGCTAACAACTGTCCGTAACTCCAGTTCCAGGGGATCTGACAGCATCTTCTGTCCTCCACTGGCATTGCACAACACGGGTGCACTTACCTACACGCAGGTAAAACATGCATGCACATAAAAATAATAAATAAAATATTAAAATATTTCTAATGCCAGGAAATAATTAGGAATGTCATGCTTGGTCTTAAAAAAAAAAAAAAACTATACCCTGGTGAACCCACTAACCTAATACTAGTCTAGTATTGGGAGAAGACTGATGTCATCCCACAACAGTTGAGTTCCCTGAATCTTCAAAACTCCATGGTTCTTAAAACACTGATGGCCAAGTGTTTTGGCCCCCTCTCTCTGCTACCACTCCTGACCATGCTCTGGGCTTTTCAGTGACTAGGGGGCACAGCAGATACAGGCTGGTATATGTACTATGAAATCTGTTCATACTTTTTGCAGAGTTGAGAAGTTTAAAACTGTAGTGTAGGGAAATCATTCACGGTTGTAGAAGGGGACGGAGGTGCCAAATGGGCTTTTGAGGAGGCCTCTCCGCATGAACATATGCAGAAGGAACGTTTAGAGGCAGGCGTTAGGGTCCATCAAAAAATGAGCAAGCTACTGTTCCTGGAGGCTGACAGGTGTACAAGGTCACAGCGATTAGAAACATAATGAACAGCTTATTTGTGAGGGATGAATTTGTTCAATATACTGGACGCCCCTCAAAACACTTGAACTACAGGAAATATACCAACACTTTAGTCAGAAATATAGCTTTATTATCATATCTCATAATCTAAAATTTTCTATTTTTAGTTCTTGGAACAGAAATATTCCAACTTCTATACAACTGGCCCTGCAAAATACTGGAAAATAGTGTTTAAGCAATCCGAGTTTACAGATATGAATCTGTTATTTAGTTTGGGGAAAAAAGAAAATAAAACAAATGACAGTTCAAATGAAGGTCCCCCCCCCCGTAAAAAACAAATAATAAAATTCAATCTGTACTTCAGTTAAACCTTGAACATGGTTTCCTGGAAGCTTTGATGATTTCTTTTAAAAGCCACTACCTTAACGCTGAGGTTGACTGTCTTTAGGAACTCGAAAAATACCTGACAGGACATAGATGGAAGTGGCCCTGGGTAGGTGAATGATCCGAGTGAGCTGGTTCCCACATCCAACAGCCAACTGAAGGGGGACAGTGTACACAACCCATTCCCTTTTAGGGGTCAGAATTTCGTTGAAACGTTATTTTTTAAATTTAATAAATAAATCTCAAAACTGTCTCCTGTAATGTGTCGATAGAACAGGATGGTGCTTTCCTGTGAAAGAGGGCTGCCATTCCCTCTAGGCATGTTAAATAAACATCCAAAATGAGTTACTTTAAGTAAAATGGAAAATAAAAACCTGGCTATACTATCTTTTAAAGCAAGTTGCTGTCATTGCACACACGTTACGGGACAAGGAGCAAGCATGCAAAAAAAACAGTAAGGGTTCTAGTAAGGGAAAGCTAAAGTGTAATCATGATATAAGCATTAATAATAAATAACTGTGGAGATTACTTACCCAAACAAATAACGACATCACAGCTTTTACATCAGCCTACACAGTGAGGTTCACCGCAATGTTTCTTTCCTACTTGATACCTGCCTACGCACCACACAAAAGATCCGCCCCCAAAAGCCGGAAGTCCAAGTGAAGACTCGGGTATGGGCGGTCCCACTGCGATACATTCAAATAATCTGAAAATTATGTTATACTTTTCAGTTTACTGGCATTGTAAAAAGCCTCTTTATCATCTATTTTAATGTGACGCTAATCAGGTGCTTATCGCAGTAACAATAATTCTACTAGTGTTCATTAGGTTATGGTTTTAATTTTTAAATTAAAGAATTCAATTTACAGAAACAAAGCTATATAGTTTTAATGCCACTCACCACAAACACACACTTTCTCCATGAGTATTTAAAAATAAATTATTAATATACTTGACATATATACTTTGTTATATGTATTATATATGTATATATTTGTGGACAAAATTATTCTTATTTCAAGAAGGATGTCAATACTTGTAAACTCCATGTGAAACCTGATGATATTCCTAAATTTAAGGAAAAAATATGAAAATTCCTTTTGGAAGAAAATTTTAAAGCAGGAAATTCTTAAAAAGAAAATTCTTTTAGGGAAACAAAAGCCATTGGGGAGGGCAGCGTCAGATACCTGATCCCACATGCAAGTGTTTATTTCAGAAATGACTTCAGAATGCACTTTACAATGACTGCCCAGGTACAGAGCTGACAGGTAAGAAAGTGCACCTTGGTCACAGATGGGCACAAAAGCAAGAGCAAAAGAAGCTGCCGGGGCACGACCTGAGCCACCTAAGAGGGGGCTGCCAACAGAGTGAGCAGCTGACCCTGCCAGAGGCAGGCGGTGGCAGGAGGCTGAGCCGTTCCTGCAGCGTGCCCAGGGTGGTCCTGGTGCATGAGGTGTGCCCTCCTTTGCATTCCCAGCACTCGGGTACCACACAGTGATAGTGCTTATCACTAGGGTTTTAGCAGCTGTCAAGATAGAGGCTGGCAGTCAGATCTGAGGGTGTAGCGCACTCAACGAGAGGACAGCTTGGGTGCACCCGAATCTGAGTAAACATGCACTCAAGGACCCAGAGTCTAAACCAAACAAACCAAAAAGCAATCTGGCAAGATGACAGCTGAGTCTGACTGAATAAGTCCCTTAAGCCATCCAAAGATCAAGTCAATTAACCAGATGCTCAGGGGTAACAGGAACCTCTATTTTGCAGACTTTCAAATGTACCAAAGGTTAAACACAAAAAAGACTTCACTGCTATCAACAGAACTTCACACTCCCAGCTGGGTGTCACAGCGCACACCTATAATCCCAGCACTTGGGAGGCAGAGGCAGGAGGATCACTGCAAGTTCAAAGCCAACCTGGTCTACACAGTGAGTTCCAGGCCAGCAGGTGCTATGCAACATAGCAAGACCCTGTCTCAAAACACCAACGAAAAATCAGAACTGTACAGTTGCATTCCATGCCTCATAATTCATAGAGCAGTGGATGCTGGAGGTCTCTCCCAGAGCTTGGCATCTTGTGTGGCCTAATGCTTAATGGCCACGGCACAGAAGCCCATGTGCCAGGATGCTGGAGACTGGGCGAATTACTTTAGAAGTCGGAGATTCCTGTTTAACAGAACTGTAGCATGACTGCCTGAATTACTTTTTTTTTTTTTTTTGCTATAATTCGCCTCTCTTGGACCTAAAGGAGGGGGACATTAAACTGGCTCACTGGGAATCTCCTCTGTCAAGTTCTGGTTAATCGAAGTGTGCATACATGTTACATTCTCTGCTTTTCTAGAGTCTTCCTAAGGGGGACCAGTCCAAAAGGACAACGCTGTGATCCCCAGTACAATACTCCTCAAAGCCCAGTGGTGATGCCCCAGCTCCACCCACCCTCTAGATGATGTTCACAATTGCTGTAGGCTTCTTTTTGGCCATTTTGGGCCTGAGGTTGCCTTTGCGGCTGAAACTGACGAGCTCCCCTTTCTTGGCTGGTCTGCAGAGTTCTCTTGAAAACTCGGCCTGTTCATGAATGATCCTGGTGGGCGGCACACCGGCTCTCTCATCCCTGGCTTTCTTCAGGTAGTTCCTTCCCTTTAGATGGAAATGGGCCTTCAGCTCAGGGTGGTTACACACAGAATGTGGGTGCCCTCGGCTTCTGCAGAGGTTGGGAGAGGAGCAGAAGTAAGGCTTTTTTGAACCTTAAAGGAATGAGAACTGATCTCAGCCCAGCCACGCCCATGTCCTTCCATGGTGACTGCTCTCACCAAGTCAAGTCACTTATACTGAATTTTGCTTCCCTGAAGTTCCTGAGGGCTCCATGACATGACTACATGGTGCTAAACCTCAGGGAGAGGTTACTGGGCCTATCACCAGGAATAAAACTGAGGCACAGAAAACTTAAATGGCTACCAGAATAATGTGCAGAGAGGACAGGATGGAACTTACATCTTGACTCTTTAGGTGACTACCAGGGGACTTATGATA